TTTATATTTCACTTTGTATTGTTTGGCATTCATTGTGGACAGCAAAGTAAGAATTTCATTGTACAGGGAAACACATTTCCTTACTGCGCACATGACAATAAACACTTTAGTTGAGTATAAGGACCTTTTTTTTTACAGTAATGGGTGGATCATGGGAACGTTGAATAGTTCCAAATATTAGGAGCAGCACCACAGAGTTACACTGACTTGACTTCTATCTTCTAAAGTAAGACATTAGAATCAACAGCATTAAATATACTTGACATTTTAAGTTAGCAACATGTGTCAAAACACATTTTACAACCTTCTGATGGTCTCTCTCAAATACTGTGTCACTATAACAGATGGCTAACAAGCTGAAATATCCACAACTACAGGACAAAATTGGTTGGCAAGGCTGCTCAGGTCTTTAAATGTATCAATTTCCTGATAAATCCTGCTGTTCCCTAAAGAAAACAATGAATCTGAATTGAATCTACATGAATCACATGATCCTCTGCCTTTTTTTGACCCCTCAATGCTGAAGCTCTTCTGTCTTAAGGGCTCTGGTTAGTCCTATAGTATTTGTACTGTGACAATGTATACTGTAAAATAAAGTAGGCCTCCTTTGAAGGTAAGTTCAGAGATCCTGTTTTTGATACTTATTACACTGTTCCTTGCTCACCATTGTCTGTTGAGCTTTTGATTCACTGTGAACTGATTAAGTCTATCATGTCCACCAGCGACTACAGCGGGAACATATTAGATTAAATACAGGTAGCTAATTTCCTCCTCTGCATGTGTGAGTGGGAGTATGAATGAAAGTGATGTAAAATTAATTTAGACCTCTAAAATTTAGATCACACTGAGGCTATTTTGGTTCTCATGATGACAAGTAATAGGAGGTTGTTGCTTTCTAACCTCACAATATTACCATGTTTGCCTATAGGGCTTTCAGGATCAATTTCATTCAGCATAAATATCACTTGATCTGTGAAACATATTAGAAATAATAAAAGCCATAAAAATGCGCCAAGCTCTATTGAGATGTCCCTCCTAGCCATGTGTCAAGACTGAAGACATTAATGATACACGGAGGAGAGAAAATTACCATCTAGGATACGTCCGAACCAGTAAACTGGTAAACAAGCTGGCCGTTAGGAGTGGGGATGATTTGAATCAACAAGGGTGAACAGATATGGATACTCGGCGCATTAGTGTTAATAGGAATAGATTATGGAGGGATTTCGTGGAGTGACCTTCAGTGCACTAATTGAAATAGTATTCCGAGTCAGCAGTGGAGTAATCAACTTAAACACAGAATCATAAATCATCATGAATAGCGCTGTCACAACCAAGCCATTAGCCTCGTGTTTTTTCCCCAGCAACCTCATGAAAATATCTGCCACACCGATCCGTAGGTTAATAGGAACAGAAATGGCATTTAGAGTCTATTTGGATCAAATGTACTGTGAGCTTGAAAGTAGAACTTTGCTAATTTGCAGGTAATGTGAATTGATGTAGTAAGGGTTGAAGACAGTTCAGGCAACGAGTCAACACAATAACTCCGGATAACACTGCTTTCTGACAAGTCTTCTCTTTGTGTCCGAGGGGCCGGTAGAGACACGATACGTTATCAGGCAGGGGTTAGGTAATCATGTTTGCTTAGTGTGACCTTTGTCTTTTGTTATTAATTATGGCTGACAAAAACACAATAAATGTTTGGACCTTAAAGACACACTTGCCCACTTTAAGAATGTGCAGAGAGCAACTTAGCGGGATCACTGCACACCACCACCATGTTTGTGTGTGATATTACAGGTTGTTATTAACTACACTCTTTATTAGAGCCACTTCATATAGTGCAAGTTATGTATTATTACCTGAAGTATTGATACAGAGTATGCTTTGTCAAAGTTTACAACATCTATATTATATCAACAAGTGTGATCCGATTAAATAGCTTTTTAATTGCAACTAAAGTGAACGAATTAGATACTAAACAGTCGGTTAGCGTCAGTAAAACGTCTTTCACACAACAATACCCAGCAACTTGTCAGAAATGCTGATAAGAGGGCCGATCCTGAGCGCTTACACGGCATTAATCAAATAGCAGGTCTAATTAAAAGCGCTTTAAACAAAGCTTTTTTCTAAATGTTGCTCAGGTATGGCAATAATTTTTGATCAGCCAAGCCTGGAAGACAAATAATTAGAACTGCCACAGCGGCCTGATGAGTGATGTCAGCATCTCCGAGTGACCTTCCCCTGCTAATTAATTTTCATTCCAGGGAAAAAAGACCCCGTTGTTGCACATTATTAATTGAGTTCATGAAAAGATGCACCTGATTAATTTTTGTTGATAATACTTGTCATTCTGACTGCCGTTCGTAATCATTTTATGGGTTTTCATCTTAGTGTTTTTCAAAGTTGATCTAAGTCATCTTTACTGGAGATTAATTTGTCCAAAGTAAAGCTGCCCTGTCCCAAGAGACAGCAGTCTATCTCACTTAAATGCCTGATGAGGACGTGATTTCTCTCCATCAGCATTTGTTTGTTCTTATTTATCCTAACAAATATATTGTGGGCACACTGTGAGACAATTATAACTTTTATTATCAAACTATGCTATATATAAAAATCCCACTACAAAACTAAATTCAAGTTAAGGTACTTCGTAAAGTTACTTAAAGATACTTAAAGTTGTTTGCTGGATATTTTACATATGTTACACACCTCCTGTATTAAAGTAGATGAATATATGCACCACAGTGAAACGCCATCAAAACCCTGATCTCTGTGGGATTATAACAAAGACATGTTGCAAACTATCTAATAAAATCTGACACACAACATAATCAACTTTAACAAATGACCAAGACCCAGGAATTCTACCGGGTCAGGGTTTTGGCTTTTCTGTAAAGAAAATGGTTTTGTATAAACTAATATAAAATGTCAAACCTTTTACAAATATGAAGGGTAATTGTTTCTAGAACTTTCCTGGAAGTTTCAGATCACACTGGCATCTACAGTAGACCATAAATGGCGCCGTCTTAAAAAAAATGCAAGTGGACAGGAAACACAATCCAGTAAGCCTGATTTGAGTAATAAAGTTCATCATTGTGATTGAAGGCTTATTAGATGTCGAAACACTGCAAAGTGGTTTCTATTACAGGAGATTAAATTTTCCAGCTTGGTCACAAAGTCAAAATTTTGATTTACCTCATTCAGGTTACACTGAGTTCTGGCAAGCGCTGGGTTAGGTTCATCCTTACTAATAAAACGACCTTGTATTTTCTCAGCTGTGCCAACACAGTAGCTGTTGTTCTAGCTGGTAATAGTATGGAATTGAGGAATAAGTCAGCACTACGTGAAACTGATGTGTTGGTGTAATCCACACAGGTTCTTCCCTAAAAGCCAGCAGCAGCCTCTGCTTCCACTGTCATGAAGAACACAATTTGTCAGATAGGTAGTAAAGATTCTTCTTCAGAAGATGTGTATGACAGATTTCTGATTACATAGCTGTTCTCAGTTATACTCTTGTTTTGTGAAGTTAATAACTATAAACTTATCTTATCTGACAACGAGTGTTACTTTGACTTGAGGTCAACTTTGCAAACCATTTTGGGGATTGCAGCAGCTTGCCAACAATCTCAAACCAGGAAGAGCACATGTACTGCACTGAGAAGGCGTACCAGATGCTTTGCTTAGAAAATCCCAAACACTGAAAATTCAAAGCATGTTGTCCTGTTAAGTTGTTCATATTACCCATTTCACACACATATAATTTTAGCACTATTTTCATTCACCTTTCTAGAGGACACTGTACTCATCTGAGCATTTAAACTATTCACCAAAAGAAGTTCACAAAATGTAAACAGAGCTTCAACAGAATCCATGTATCATTAGGGGACTGTTAGACACATGGGAGAAAATATATTTATGTAAAAAAAAATTGCCATCTGTCGGTAAATTAATGAATGTTCTTCAGTTACCCATAGTAGCACAGCGTACCCATGAGCATATTGTTTTTCAGTTTCTGACTAATCAGAAGTCACTATAAAGGCAGTACTATTTGACATGTTATAATTTCTCCTTTTTCAGGTGGGTATACAGCAAACTGCCTTAGAAAGACAACTACAGACAAGCTAATAAAATATTATAGAATCCTCTTTCTAAATAATTTGCCTACACCTGAATTCAGTGGGGGTTGAAAATGAGCACATAGGTAGATGACAGAATTTTTTTCATGCAGACCCCTTGTGGCCATTTGGTTGCAGAAGGAATCATTTGAGCTTAACCTCATTTGTCATTTTATTCAATATTAAACATATTACTTAATAAAACAGTATGAAAATTGAGATGTAAATTCTAGTCTAACCTAAGCTGTAAAAAGTACTGTGGTGATAAAAACTGGCATGGTAATTTGTTAACTACCATGATGGTAGCGTGCCACAATACATTTTTTCAGTGACATGGTGTACCATCATAGTTATCTGTGCTGGAATATATCCGTATCACTTAACCATCAGTAATAACCAAATTGCCATTAGCTGGTTGCTAATCAGGTTTACAGTCACTTTCAATAACTTTAATGCTGACAAATTATGTCTAAATCCTGAAACCAGTTACTTCCCCACAGCAAGAGTATCTGTGATACTGTCAAGGAGCCTCTGGTGAAGGAGCCTCATGCAGTGAAAATATAATCACCCAATAAATTATCAAGTGCCATTAAGGTGAATCAACACCTTTCTGGCATACCCTCAACAAAAATATAATATTTTAAGATTCACCAAGTTAAGATTTATGGCTGTCTGGCATTATATATTTTTCTCCTCACTGACTGTAAAATATTTGGACTGTCTGAATGTGTCCAGTATTTTATCACATTATCTATACATCATATCATCCGCATCAAGCAAAACCAGCTGTCTGTATCACTAGTGTGATGTCTGTTATGATGTGTAATGAACAAGAAAAAACTAAACAGTAAAAACAACAAGTACTGTATATATGCTACATACCATAATTGTCAGCAGTTGTGCGATGGCAGGTCTTCCTTAAGCATTTTGCAGTGGGAATCTTGTATTCTGGGTGCTGCAGTCTTCAGAGACTATTTTATTTCGAGTATTCCAGCATTTTGAACTCGTATAGGCCTCACGTTAGACCAAGATCTTAAAAACACAATTTTAGGTTTACAACAATCAGTGCCTTGTATTACTCAAATTTGACAACTTAATTATATGTCCATACCTTTGTCAACGTATTAAAGTACAGATTAAGTTGTGTTTATCCCCCAAAAAATACAACTTCAACATAGTAAGGTCGGCTAAAACAGCACCGCCGCAAAGCAGCCTTATGCTGTTTTCTGAGTAAACAGTTTTAAGTTAACACAAGCTGAGACTTTAAAGTTAATATTTATTGACCCCTAAAATGTGAAGAAATTACTTTAATTAGCTACGGTTTTCTTACCACGCACGCAAACAAACTGTTACGTACTTCCGTGAGGGCGCTTGCATCGTGTATTACGTACGTGATGGCGGTTAGATAGATGGCGCCGATGAAAGTCAAGGTACTTATTTAAACCCAAAGCCACCATGTACCATTTATTCAGTGACCAATGCAATGGAATTGCACTGCATGTGCACACACTTATTTTTGTTTAATTTTATGTTCAGTTTGTCATTCCTTTGTCCTTATAAAGGACCATTACTATCTTTACTTTTTAAAATTATTCTTAATGCCATCATTCTTGTATATGGTACATAATGGACAGTTTCATACAAGGATCAGAGTTCTTTTAGCAGGCGAGACAGAAATCTTCATCAAAGTTCCTACAGTATTTATCTCTTTAGTTTAGTGAGATGTGAATAGTAGCTTGTGTATTTCAAGTTATATGGCTTTCCATTTGTTGGGTTGCCATGTTGTATCATTTTTTTACCATTAGACTTCTGAAAGAGAAACCGCAACAGCATTTTTTATATTAATGGAAAATACCTTTGCAGCCACAAAAGCCTGCTATTGTATGATAAGCTGCAAATGCAGAGGGGTGTCTGAAAATCCATTTAGAATTAATAATACCAAAACCATTCTTGTTAATGAAAAAGTGTAATTTGTCTGAAGAGGCTCAGAGTCATCTTTGAAATGCAAGATGTCACTGAGCTGGTATAAATGTAGGATTTAATGGATACAGTGACAGTGTTGCAGTATTGTTCTTGACAGAAGAAAATGATGTGAATAGCCTTGCTTGTCATTGTTGTGAAACTATTAATAGATCTGTAATTATGGTGGGCAAATTGTTGATTTTTTTTTCCTCTGTGGTATTTGATATGCTCAGCACAATGAGGAGATGAATTAGGACTAATAAACAGGTCTCATGATTCTGACTCTAATTGGAGGATCATTATATCTCTTCCAGAGAGATGCCCGCAGCTAAAGCCTTTAACAGCACTATTTCAAACAGGACATAAAGGCCTTAATGAATACTCCTGTGACTTCGCACCATCTCTCACAAAGGGAAGCACATATTCTGTTTTTATCTTACACATAGTTTCCTGTAATTGTTGGATTGAATTGCAAGATCAACCCCGCTTCTCTCGGAAATCACAATAATTATACCAAGGTTGTATTTAGGTTAAAGTGCTAACAGATACTTTGAAAAAGTGTCTGCAACTTAAGAAAGCAGTGTTGTCATTCGATACTGTATTTAATAGAGGAATACGGGAGTATGTGTGTGTGTGTGTGTGTATGAAGGTACTGAATTAAAATAAAAACATATTAGTATGGTGTGATGTCAGGTGTTTTGAAATGTCCTTACATGAATACTTAAACCTTACCATTACAACACAATACAAAACTACGGACAGCAAATATAATGCATGCTCCGGGAATGTGTTGAAATCTCTGGGTGCCATTTGCTCCCATCAGTGTAGCTGATAGAGTCATTAGAGAGCTGCTGCGCCTCAGCTCTGGAGTCTCTCTCTTGTAAATGGTCCTGGTGGATGGGTGAACAACCTTCTCATGGCTCCGTGGTCTCAGAGCACTTCACTAAAGCTAATAGGTCATAGCTGCAGAGATGGGTGACAAATGTATGTGTTAACAATGGATAATGTAGGAATAGATTGTAGTTATCTACTGCGTTCTCTGTCTAGTGATTTAAAGCATTTGATATTGCATCAAGTAAATTTCAAGAATAAGTCACATTATTTTTTTTACATTTTTATTTTACTTCAGCAAGGTATGAGAATTTTTACATTACACATATGACCTCTATGCAAATGGAGGACCCTCTTCTTTATCTGTTAGTGACTAACGTGCTCTCGCTTGGACGGCGGGAAAACCAAAAGTGCTGAAATCGTCTAAATGATGTAGGATCTGTGGGTTTTTGCATATCACACCTCCTCTATGGCTTTAAGAAAAGGGTGAATAAGGTCAGCTCAATATGCATATAATTTGGGGTTACATTCGAAGTTTGGGTTTTAAGCTTCTTGATGAAAGACAGCTATGAATAAATGTAATCTTTTCTCTCACATTTGGTCATTTGCTGAGAGCTAGGAAAAGTCTTTGTACAGGCTTTCACTATTAATATTCCTTATTACTGTTCCTTGGGAGCCATTGTCCTTCTGAAACACTCTAAATGACTGAGCAATGTCACTCATTTCAGAGATTTATTTACAAAAGTTGTCGTCAATTTGCATTATCCAACATAAAATTTAAAAAGAGTATTGTTACTCTTGTGTTTTATGCCCTTAGTTTGTTATGGATGAATGAATGGGAAAAGTTTAGGCCACACTGGAGAGGAACTTATTTGTTGAGCAAGGGAAAATACAACTAGACGAGGGATGGCTTTCAAAGGACTGAATGCATTCATCTGCTAACCTGTTCAAGGTGTGCCTGGTTGATGTCCTCCTCCTTTGGTGGGGAACATATGTCCACAGCAGCTGTGCCACCGTGAATAGGCAGTGATTGTGTGCTAGCTAACTGCATTCCTGGGAGCCAGGCCAAGTCTGAGTGGAGTGAGCTGTCCCATTTTTGATACAAGCATCTCCTGCATTCCACTTGATTTACGTCTCTTTTTCCACAGAACTAGCAGCCATTCACTCCAGCCAAAATGGCACCTGACTTAGAAGATCTAATTTTTCGCACACCAAAGATGCTGAGGAGGTGATCCTGAGACATATTTCTGATAAAGTGCTGGAACAGCAGTGCTACTGTATGTTCCCACTGACACAGTTTTCTCCTGTTCTAATGCTGCATGTTGGAAGTTTTATACACACTAGATTGTACAGTCAGGCAATGCTATTTATTTTTAGGATGAGTAAAACCAGAAGATAGACATGGCTGTCACTACATTTGTTTCATTTAGTTCAAAATCACCAAGAAGCAGCTGAAAACAATATAAAGAACATAAACATCTACAGTATAGGCATCTGGATGATTACCCTGGTCACTTTTTCATAAAAGTCACAATGGCAGTCTGACTAGATCATACCTAGTTACATTTATGTAACTCTGGCTCAGTTCCATCGACCCTTAAGCATGCGGTAATTAGACCATTACTTAAAAAGCCCAACCTTGATTCAGCTGTATTAGGAAATTTTCATCCAATATCCCTTCTCCCTTTTCTTTCTAAAGTTATTGAGAAGCTGGTGCTCACCTGGATCGTCTAGATTTTGTTGACAAATTTCAGTCAGGGTTCAGGGCTCGACACAGCACTGAGCCTGCTTTACTTAAGGTACATAACGATATTGCATTAGCCCTTGATGCTGGACGCCCAGTCATTCTAGCTTTGTTGGACTTATTGGCCGCCTTTGACACAGTAGACGATTCGATTTTTCTTTTGAAGCTTGAGCACCTCTTCGGCCTGGGAGGTTAGGTGCTAAGTTGGTTTGAGTCGTATCTTACCAATAGAACCTATTAGGTCATGATCGGTGGCCATTCCTCCAGTACAGCTTCCCTTACCTCAGGCATCCCGGAAGGCTCCATTTTGGCCCCTCTGCTTTTTTCTTTGTATCTGTCACCGCTTGCTGCCATTATATCCAGTCACAATGTTCCTTTTCATTTTTATGCTGACGATATTCAAATTTACATGCCGCTGGTACAACCGGAATCAGGTTCACTTGTTGCATTTCAGAACTGTCTGTGTGATGTTAAAATTTGGTTAACCCAGAATCTCCTTTATTTAAACAAAGATAAAACTGAATACATTGTTATTCGTCCCCATCCAGCTGTAGGTGTATTAGACTTCGGCACGTGTGCCCCCTCATTCTCTAACGCTGTAAAAAAATTTGGGAGTAATATTTGTCGGTGGTAAAAACTAGCTTCTACCAGTTAAGACTTAGAGAAAGCCATCCATGCCTTTGTGACCTCCCGGCTTGACTATTGTAATGCCCTCTATGCCGGTTTGTCCCAGTAATCTTTGTCTAGGCTTCAACTGGTCCAAAACGCGGCCGCCCGTTTGCTTGCAAACACTCGTGGGCATGCCCACATCACTCCAGTTTTGTTGTCTCTCCATTGGCTGCCCGTAAAATGGAGAGTGGAGTTCAAGATCTTGCTCTATGTTTTTAAAGCCATACACAGCCTTGCCCCTTTGTACTTATCTGACCTCCTGTCCGGATATGTCCCTCGCAGAACTTTACGGTCGTCAGGTCACCTCGCCCTCGTTGTTCCTCCTGCACACTATAAGAAATGGGGAGGTTGCGCTTTTGCCGTGCATGGCCCTAGATTGTGGAACTCCTTACCCTTAGATATATGCTCTATAACTGAGCCGGTAGCCTTCAAGTCAGCTCTAAAAACATATCTTTTCAAACAAGCTTTTAATGTTTAGCTTGTTTATTGGTCCTGTATAACCACTATCTTTGAGTCCCTTTTTGTGATAGTAGGCTGGGTAGAAATTGTGCTATATGAGTGCTTGTGTTTGTCTTATGTTTCTCTTTTAGCCTTGACTGTTTTGAACTGTTATATTATCGATGTAGCACTTTGTGCTTTCGAGTTGGAAAGTCCTTTACAAATACATTTTATTATTATTTATTATAACTCTCAACACAGCACAAGTCTGAACTGCATGCAGTCGCATTAAAGGATAGGCACGCATATGAATATGACAGTCTCACACATATGGCAAATACTGCGTGCGTCAAAATGTTGTTGGCATGGCAGCTTGGCTTGAATAAAACAATTTTGTTGGAGCATCAAATCAATGTGTGAGCTATAATCTTTTTTTTCTCTACTAGTATTACTCCTTGGCCTTTGCACCTGATGCAAAGAACGTTGTGTAGAGATGTATGCACATATCTTAGTGTATTAATCAAATATTGCATGTCAGCTATGGCTCTTGCCATCACGGTGTGTGAGTGTTGTGAAGAGCTTTAAGTGACAAACTGATGAAGCCAGCAATGTTACGTAACCCATCTCTGAAAGGGACTTAAAACATCTACAGCCATGCTAGGAGCTCACAATAATG